AGGGCGAAACGCCACTCGAAGCCTGCGGGCCGCCGCACCAGCGAGTAGCCAGTGTAGGCTGCCGTCGAGAGCAGTGCCCCGAAGCTAGCGCAGCGCATCAGGCCGAGCTTGCGCTGCAGCCAGTCGTAGGCGAGGGTGCGAAGGGTGAGCCTGGGCACATTTGCCGCCGCGTGAAGGCGGCTGCTCACAGGCGTGAGGTAAGCGAGCGGGCAGAGGGGCAGGCCCGAGGACAGAGGTCGCCATCATGACGAAACCAAAGTGGAGCGAGGTCCAGCCGAAGACCTGTTCATGCCAGGCGGTGTGAAGAGCCGCCTGGCCGGAGAGGCCGGCGGGAGAGGCCGGCGTGGTGGAGGCGTGGGCTCGCCTCCTTGAGCCACAAGGCTTGGCACGTCATCAGGCAGGAGGAGGCCGTGTTGGAGAGGAAGGAGCCCAGCCCAACCACCACCACCACACGCCAGCGCGTCGCCTCCGGCTGCTGCTCGGACGACGCGCGCCGCGCAAGCGCCGGCCTCGCCCCTTTCGGCGGGGCGGCGGCGCGAGGCGGCGAGGCGAGGCCGCCCGACTGCTCGGCCGGAGGCAGCTGGAAGAGGGCGACGAGCAGCGCGGCGAAGCCTGTTTATGGCAGCGAGCCGTCACCCAAGTCCGGAGCAGGGGCGGAGGGCGACGAGCAGCGGAGCGACACCGACGGCGGCGCCGACGTAGAAGGGCGCGCGCACCTGGTGTGCAGGGGCCCGCGGGTTGTGAAGGGACGCTGGTCACAGAGGGTTTCCGGCTGGAAGGACGCGAGGTACGTCGAGCTCGGAGAGGCCGGCGCCTGTTCACCGCGTGGCTGGTGTGAAGAGGCGCGGGACCGCCCCGCACACGCAGCTCTCGGAGAGGCGCGTGCCGACGCCAGGCCCAAACATGAAGCAGAGCGAGGCGATGACTCCGATCCACGACATGAGCTTGGGCCGCTCGGATGGCGCGGTGATGTCTGCGATGTACGCGTTGGCGGTGGCGGAGGTGCCGGAGAAGGCGCCGAGCAGGAAGCGCCAGCCGAGCAGCGCGCGGAAGGTTGGCGCCTGCGCAGAGCCCAGCATGCCCACGGCGGAGCCAGCGAGCGAGACGAGGAGGATGGGTCTGCGGCCGAGTCGATCGGAGGCGGCTCCCATCCAGAGCCCCGCCCCGATCTGAGCGACGGCGAAGGTGGAGAAGAGGAGGCCGAGGCTCGAGGCGTCGCCGCCGAGCGCCTCTACCAGAAAAGGCATTACCGGGACCGTGAGCGCCGAGCCGAGCATGTCAATGGCGACTGTCGTGTAGATGATCAGCAAAGCGCGGTCGCGCGGAGAGTAGAGCCGGCGCGGCGACGACGACGACTCGGCAGGCGGCAGCGCCGGCTCCGCAGGGGAGGAGGCGGTGAGGAGGCGTCTGCGGCCGTACCTCTCAGCCCGCTTGCGCGCGCCCTGCAGCGCGTTCGCCGCCGCTGCTGCGTCTCGCTCGGCGGCACTCAGGCAGCTGGTCTGCATTGGGTCGCGAATCGATGTTCGCTACCAGGGCCGTAGCGCTGCCTTCGTCTAGGGCTGGCGGAAGGTGTCGGCGAGGCTGTGATCCTGGCGGTAGGTGACGCCGTCGGCGAGGCTGTGGGGCTGGCGGAGGTGTCGGCGAGGCTGTGGGGCTGGCGGAGGTGTCGGCGAGGCTGTGGGGCTGGCGGTAGGTGTCGGCGAGGCTGTGGTCTGGCGGTAGTCGACAGCTGTGAAGTCAGAACCCCCGGCCGGATTTCATGTACTTTTAGCTTACTGGGAGAAAAGAGAAAAAGTTTGTGTTCTGTAGGCCCCTAAGGGCCCTAAGCGCGGCGTGAGAGCTCGGAAGCGAGCTTTGCACGGCGATCGAGGATGGCACGGTTCACCCCCTTCACCGAAGCGATGGAGATGAGAGATTGTTTGTTTGGAGATGCGTTCCGCGTGGTGTGACACAAATGAGAGGCGGGAGTGGGGAGGGTACGCGGTGCGGTCAACGCCCGAGCGTTGAGCCTTGCGCGCAAGGCGGTTGATCTTTGCAACTGGCGGCGAGAAGCCGCCGCCGAATGTCTCGTGGAGAAGCAGGCAGGTTGAACTTGTTTTCGTTTGGTGAAGATCCCATCATGGTAGTGGCCACGCTGTGACTTGACGTAGCCTTGGCCGGTGGTGTTTCTCAATGTATGTGGCTCTTACGTACATTCCCGGAGGAAGACTGCTGATTTTATCTCCCTGACAAAGAAGCTACAAGTAAACCCCATAGGCAGAGCTATCAACGGACGGGCGTTACGCGCCTTCGCCGAACACATATGTCAGGCGTTACTGGGCCAGCGTATCCGCCGCCGCTCCCGCCGTTGTTACCGCCGGTGATCGCACCCTCGCCGCCGTTTTTGCCACCCGTGTCACCACCGCCGTTCGCGCCACCGCCGCTGCCACCTCCGCCACTGACTCCGCCGCAGCCTCCTCGATCTCCACCGGGGCACCCGCCGCCGCTCTCACCCCCACCCCCACCATCGCCACCTATCACACCACCTCATCCGCCTCTGCTGCCGCCGCCACTGCAACCACCCCCGCCACCGCTGCAACCGTTGCCTCCGCATTCTCCGCCGCCGCTGCTCCCACCACCACTGCCGCCGCCGCCGCCGCTGCAGCCGCCGCCGCCGCTGCAGCCGCCACCGCCGTCGTGGCCGCCGCCACCGGCGAACCCGCCACCGCCGCCGTCCCTGCCTCCCCTGCCACCGGCAGCACCGCCGCCACCGCTGCCGCCATCGTCACCACCACCTCCTTCTCCACCTCCGCCATCCCCACCGCCCAGGCTTCCGCCGGAAGTGCCTCCTCCAGCGACTCCTCCTGCCCCTCCAGCATCCCCACCACCACCCTCGCAGCCCGCGCCTCCCGCCGTGCCTCCGCGGACGCCTCCGACAGCTCCCCCGCCACCAGTGTCTGTCCACCTATCGTTTGCAGCCACGGGCTCCGCGGATGCATTCAACGCCTCGACCCTCACCGCCATGGAGGCTAGCCTGGCGGAGGCCATCGGGGTTCCCGCGTCCATTATCCGCTTTTCTCTCGCGAGTCAGGCGAGAGAGGCAGTTCCAGTGGAGTTGAGCGCTCGCATTTTCCCCAGCGAGGGCTCAAACGCCACTCTCGGAGAAGCGCTGGTTGCGGCGACCACGCTCTTCGCCTCGCCGCACCTCGCGAGCTCGGTGCTCGGCGCAGAGGTGGCCGCCTTTCGTGGCGTCTCGCTGCTCTATCACAACCCCCCTCCATTGGCGCCGCCCCCTTTTTCGCCGCCAGAGAAGAGAGGGTGGAGCTGGAGGAGGCGACTGGCGCTGATACTGGGGCTGTGCATACCCCTTGGCCTACTCGGCCTCTGCCTCATCGCCGCCGTGGTCGGCGTGTGCGTGCGACGGCGCCGCGGCAGGCAAAAGCAGGCTGGCGTGGCACCGGCCCCCTCCAAATCTGAGGCTGGAGGGTCGCCATCGGCGGAGCCGGCACCGGCTCGGCTCTCTCTTGCCGATGCCGCCTGCGCTAGTCACGCGGCCGCTAGCGCCGGCGCTGCGCTGCGACTGCACGCAGCGATCGCAAAGCTCCCCGGAGGCGACGATGACACCAAGGAGACCAACACGGCCGACACCGCTGTCGAACCGCCGCCCGCAGCAGAGTCCAGGCCGCCAGCGCCCTTCTCCATTGCGAATGCTGCGGCGGCGCACTCGGCAGCCTCGAGCGCCGGTGCAGCGCTGGCAGCGCACGCGGCCATCTCAAGACTACCAGGCCCCGATGCGAGCGAGTCGGGCGGGGGCAAGCTCGAGCCGATTCAAAGTGCGCCCGCGTTCACGCTACCGCCGCTGCCGGCCGGGCTGCCGCGCGTGAATTCGAGCCAGTTTGAGATTTCGAGCGCGAGCGCCTCCGTGTCGCAAAAGAAGGAGCAAGCGCAGCTAGATTGAGCGTCTGCGGTGTTGGTTCTGAGGCTTGGGTATCCCTTAGCCATTGATACCTGTACGTCCATGAAAGAGTATAAAACGTGTACGTTTATAGTTGCAATTGATCACGAGAGATTTATCTATCTAAATCCGCGGGGTACATTTCTTGTTTAGGGGGTAAGGCCGAGGCAGAAAAGGTTTCCTTTTTTCTCCGTTTTCTTCACACGATTTTTCCTGTGAAGAGAAGCGTAGAGAAACGGACCTTTCAAACTCGGTGTCGAAACACCAGCCCGACGCGCACGACAGTTCCACTTCAAAATCTTTTTCATGTTCACTTAGAGAATGAATACATGTACATTGCAACTTAGAGCCGTCGTTTTGTGCACGGACCGCATCGATCCCGTCGTCAAAGCTCAACGCAATGGCCGAGGCAGCGACAGCGTCCGGTCTGCCCCCGCCCGCCACCTGCACGGCGCTGGCTTCCCTGCGCGTGACCACTTGCGGCGAGCAGGGATGCACCCCGCAAGCGGTGAATGCCCGTCCCGGAGACAATCTGTCGTTTGCAGTCTGCGTCGAGAACCACTCTCACCGCGGGAGCTCTGTTGACTATGTGCCCGCTACACTGATGGAGGGTGCGCTGGTCAGCGTGCGCTTAGCGTGCTCCGACTTCTCCGCGCATGCGTCTGGCTGGACCTGCGCCGCCGGGTGGGATGGCCTTGTGGAGGCTGTGAGCTTTTTGCCCAGTCAGGAGCTCTACGTCGGAAGCTTCGAGATGGGGGAGTGCCACCGACTCTTCTCCGATCCGAGCTGGATCAGGTGCGTCTACGAACCCGCCTCGTGCAAACCTATTCGCCCTTGCGCACAACTTCGGCTGAGTCGGTCGGTTGAGCTCACTCCTGCAGGCCGCGGGGCCACGGTGGCTGCAAGTGGGCAGAGCAACGGCGGAGAAGTATGCCTTGGCACCCTTACAGTCCGGCTGCAAGATCAACCGTCTGCGCTACTAGACGGGATCTCAACCACAGGAGCGCCGATCAAGGTGGCGGTCGTCGCCGACGCTGCACCCGGCTCGATCGCCGTCGACCGTTGCACTGCTAGCGGCTTGCAGCAGCGGATTGGGGCGGAAGGGCACTCAGAGTACTACATCAGCGGACCACCGCCACCGCCGTTGCCATTGCAGCTACCACCACCCTTGTGGCCACCGCCCTCTGCAGCCCGAGGATGTCCGCCCACGTGCGGAGGCTTGTCATGTGATCAGTACCCTTCGACACGACCGCCACCGTCCGGCGGCAAGGCATACGCTCTGAGGCCGTAGAATAGCGACGGCTGCATCTAGCTCTTTGCGCGGGTCAAGCAAGTGTACCTGCCTGGCCTCCCCTTGATGGTCCTATAGGCGGGCTTCTCCACAGGCAGGAGTCGATCTTGGAGGAGGGGCAGGCGTGCTGTACCGACCCGTCGTGGCTTCGCATCTACCTCTTGCCAGCGGCTCTCCTCGGCACCAGAGCACTCCATCTGAGCGCCAGAGCCTGTCCTGCTCCTGGCGCGGGTCCCTACGCACGCCCTTACAATCATACGCATAAAAAACCCCAAGAGAGTAGTAGGAAGGCGGGAGAATCCAAAAAAGCCGCGCAAAAAGCCACAAAAACCCAGAAGGACTCAATCAATCGATTGTACTGACTGCGGTGGTGTGAGTGAATGCACCATGAGCAAAAACCTGACGAGGCCTGTAAGTACATTACGAGAGTTTCTCTCTCTCTCCCAGTAAGCTAAAAGTACGTACATTAAAAAATGGGACAAACTAAAAGCCAGCTGCTAAAAGCCGCGGCAAGACACACAAAGACATACAAAATGGGCCACTACTGCATGGGGGTTAGCGGATTTGCCTCGTCCCCCTTCCAGTTGGTCCCCTTCTTAAAGTGGCTGGGACTGGCTTGCCGACTTGGCCGCGTGCTCTAACTACACGCTGCGACATGCCTAGCCCCTTGCCGGCTTCGTTGCCTCTGGCCAACACCACCCTGCTGCAGCAGCGGCCCACGAAGCGGCGGCGACGTCAGTCTTACAATACAGAGTTTAAGATCAAGCTTGTCAAGCTGGCACTCTCGCGGCCGAGCGGACAACGAATCAAGCCCACCTGTCGCGAGTTCCCCGAGGTTGAGCCGGCGCGACGCACCTGCCAAATTGCCCCACCAAGCTCCGCCCCTCCTGAAACCCATTTTTCGCCATAGGTCCAGTTGAGGAAATGGATAAGAGCGTTCGAGGCGTCGGTGCTGGCGTCCCCCTTGGTGGGTAGCGCCCAAGCGCCCGCGACCACCGAGCCGGACGTGCAGGATTCGGATCCCAGCTTGGCAGTGGCTAGCGCCCAAGCGCCCGCGACCACCGAGCCGGACGTGCAGGATTCGGATCCCAGCTTGGCAGTGGCTGTGCCGGTGCTGGCACTCCCGCTCGCTGTGCCCTGTGGCATCATTATGCAGGGCAGCTACGCCTTCGCTGCCGCCTCGCCGGCGGCTGCCTCGCCGCCCATGCTACCCGCATTGACCGTCCCTCCAACTGTGCGCGGGACCGCCATCTCTCGGGAGCGGCCTGTCGTCGCGGCGGCTTCGCCAGTGGCCGCTGTAGCAGTGCTGGCAGCGCCTCCGGTTCCGGTGATGCTGCTGGAGGCGCCGGCGCCGGTGCCGATCTGCCAAGTCGCGCCATTCCCTCCCGCGGCCGCGAGCATGCCAGCACGCCCACGTGGGACGCAGGCCGAGGCAGAAGCTGCTGAGGACTTGCTACTGCTGAGTCGGTGAGGGGGCTCAGGCCTCAGAGGGCTCAGCAGGGTGCTAGCTAGCAGGTAGCAGGATTGCGAGATAGGTGCGAGGGGAAGGAGGAGAGAGGGAAGCGCGGAAGAGTCGAGGAAGTCATCGACCGTCGTGGTCGGGACGGGTTCTCCAGCGCACCAGTCCCTTGGGTAGAGTGCCGCCCGTTCTGGCCTCTTGTCTTACCTATATAGCGAGAGAGCCAGGGAGAGCAAACACGATAGACAATCCAGACAGGACTCAGGAGGGAGGTGAGCTGGACGAGGAGGAGCGATCTCAGCGCTGTGATCACATGCGAGTCAAGCAACAAGAGAGTCGGGGAGTCACAGTGTCAGTGAGCATGTGAGCTCATTTGGGAGGTGTATTGTTTCCAATGGCGGGCAGATGGCGGGGGGGACACGACGGGGCGCTACTCACAGGTTTTTAGCACACTGAATATCTGAAAAAAGTGTATACGCGCGCATTTAATGTGGTGGCGCGCGTCATACTGAGAAGTCCTCCGTCTCGGCCAAACCCTGCTGCTGCTGCGGCTCCTCGAGCCCGATGAATTCCCGGCTCACCAAGCCGACTCGCACCTACAGCCGAGAAGCAGCTCGGACACGCCGCCGAGGGATCACCGAGGTCCGCCCGGCCGGCGACTCGCGGCTAGCTCACCCTCCGGCTCGCGCTCAGCTTGACGCGGATCGACTTCCACCGCGACCTGTTCACAGCAGTGCGGTGTGAATAGAGACGCGATTCACAGCGTGAGGCGGGCCGATGTCCATCGCGACCGCGGCCGCACGCGCGGCCGGAGCTGCACGCCCGCCGCCGCCAGCGCCTCGTCGCCGGCAGAGAGGGAGGCGCCGGGCGGTGCGCTCGCACTCGTCAGTCTGCTCGCCCACGAGGCCGTCGTGCGGCCAGAGGTGGACCCGCCCGACCAGCTCGACTCCGCAATCCCGCCCCACGAGGCGGCGGGCGGGCGGGAGGCGGCGGGCGAGGCGAGTGGAGGCATGGAGGAGCGGCTCGGCAGCAGCGACGGGCGGGAGGCCGTCTGCGTGAGCGCCTTGGCCTGGCATGGGGCGAGGGCGAGAGATGGGCGAGAGATGGGCGAGACGCAGCCGAGGTATAGGCGAGAGACGGGGGAGAGACGGGAGGGGTGTGAGGTTGGCCGACCTTTCGCGGGGCGAGGGCACGCAGCGCGCGCAGCTTGAGCGGGACGGAGAGGAATACGTTGTTCGACAGGTGCGACGAGCGGCTCCCCGCGCCCGACTGCACCGCGTCGGCGACGAAGGAGAGGCCCGCCCCCACGGTCAGGGAGCAGCTCAGCTGCCCCGTGCCGCGCGTCGTCCCCTTCCACACCAGCGGCTGAGAGACCTCCAGCCGCCCGCCCACACCCTCGCCGCCCGTGCTGCAGCGGCCCCACGCTCCCCTCGCGGAGCTGCGCGGCCACGAGTGCGACTGCGCGCCGATGCTGCCGCCAGGCGCCTCCGCGAGCGCCCCGCCGCTGCCGCTGCTGTCGCCCCCGCCCCCCTCACCACGCCTCGGCCCTTCTCCGGAGGCTTCGCCGCTGCTGCGGCCGGCGGCGCCCCCCCCCGCGCGGAGCAACCGCTCGACGGGCTCCGAGAGAGGGACCATTGCCGTGCCTGTGAACGGGCGGGGGGTGAGGCGACCCTCCCCCCCTCGCTCGGGTGAGCAGCACCGCCGGTCAGCGCCGAGCGGGTCGTCCTTCGAGCCGATGTCGCGGTCGAAGACAGCCAGGATGAGCGTGACATGCCGCAAGTCTGCGAGCGAGCACGAGAAGCGCAGCAGAGGCAGCTCCGCCTCGCACCAGCTGCACGTATCGTCGGCGCCCTCGCCCCCGAAGCCAGCCGACGGGCCGCGCACCGAGCCGCCCATCACGGCGCGCCACGCCCTCGCCTCGCCGGTCACGGCGGTCCCTAGTGGAGTGAGTCGAGGAGTTGGGCTCTCGCGCCCCTTGCTGACCTCCCTCGCCCGCCCCGGGTGCGCCCGTCGCGAGGACACCCTTCTTGACCGAGGAGGTCGGGACCGGCCCGCCGAGCAGGCCGGGCGGGTTGGTGAAGAAGGCGATGTACCTGCGAGCCACACGTCCACGAGGCGTCCAGGGCGTGCCCCGCCGCAAGGGTGTGGGGCGGGGGAGTGGGACGCACGGGTCGCTGCGGCCGCTCAGGTCGGCGGGGATGATGCCTTGCAGGGAGAGGGAGCCGAGCCGGGCGCACGTGGTTGCGGTCGCCTAGTGTAGCGGTGACCGCGGAGGGGTCGCAGAGGGGACAGAGAGGAAGACATCGCAACGCGCCTCGTGCTGCGCCTCGTGCTGCGCGCGGCTCGAGCCGGCGGCGCCTAAATGAGTCGCCGGTCACCGTGAAGCGCTCCCCTCCCCGCGCCGCGACTCTGGGGCCGGCGGCGCCGTGCAGCCGCGCCGAAGCGGCCACCTCGAAAGTGGCGAAGACGGGCTTGTGGTCCGAGGTGGAGACGCCTGCTCGCAGCAGCGGCACTGGCGAGGCTTCGCAGCGGGTGCGAGCGTGCGGGCGGGGGGCAGGGCGCCCGGCACGGCGGCGAGGCTGGTCTGCGTTACGGCAGAGGAGCCTCGTCCCGGCATTGATCGCCAGAGGATGCGGTCGCAATACGAGGGGATGCGCTGCTGCTTGTAGTGCGCGCCGCGCTGGCGCAGCACCTTGAAGGTCGGAGGGAAGGAGTACTGCCCCTCGGAGAAGCGAGCGAGCACGTCGCCCGCTCGCTGCGAGTGGCGAAGCTGGTCGGCCTCCCACAGCGCCTGTTCACGGCGGCGGGTGTGAAGAGAGGCGCCGCGAGGGGAGAGGGGGCCGGCCCGCCGACGTCGCAGCTGCCTCCCAATCCTCCTCCTCCACCAAGTCTCGCACGGCGGCGTGGTGGGCCTCGTGCTCCTTGAGCGCCTCGGCCGGCAAGCCGGCCGCCTGCTGGCCACCAGTTCAACTCATGACTTGGCCACTCAATTTTAACCAATGACACTGGCAGGCCGGCCGCCTGCTGGCCAAGCTTGAGGTCGACCTGTTCACGACAGGGTGTGTGAAGACACGCCGCCCGCACGAGTCTGCTCGCCGAGCGTCCGGCCGAGACCCTGTAGTTGAGGTCTCCGAACCAGAAGCAGTGGTCGAACTGCGACGCGACGTCGAGCCGCCCACGCGCGGCGCGCCTCTGCTCGCCGATGGCGCCGGCCTAGCGAGCGGAATCAGCGGTGCGTCGAGCGTGGGACCAGGCCGGCCTCTGCTCGCCGCCCGCCGTCTCGAGGTGTGCAGACCGCGCACGTCCCTCGGCATCTCGACTCGAGCATCGCCATCTCGATGTCTCCGGCTTGATAGTCTGGCAAGACCGTGGCTGCATCTCGGCTGCGTCTCGGCTGCATCTCGGCTGCGTCTCGGCTTCGTCTCGGCTGCATCTCGGCTGCATCTCGGCTGCATCTTGCCGTCTCGGAGAGGATCTCCTTGCACATCTCGTTCCGCTCGCGGTTCTTGTGGTCGTGCGCCGCGAGGTGGCACGAGACGAAGGCGAGCGAGGTGGTGCCGAGGTGGAAGGAGATGGCCAGTCCGCCCTTGTTGCCGACCACGCCTCCCAGGCCGGTGGCAGAGACGGCGGAGCGGACGGAGTGGGCCGAGGTGCGGAGCGCGGCGCGCACGAAGACGGCGAGGTGCCTACTCCACCAGCGATGCGTCACGCGCGGAACCGGTCCAGCGGGGCGCGCACCGACGGAGCGAGCTGCATCTGGCGCAGCGACGCGTGCTTGAGCACCACCCACTGCCTCCCTCCTCCTCCTCCTCCCGCCAGCCGCGCGAGGATCATCTTCTCCCACACGCGGTGCGGGCCGCCGCCGCGGATCGACTGCACCGCCGCGTCCGCCGCGTCCGCCGCCGAGTTCCGCGCCGGCCCAGCAGAGAGCGACGCCTCCTCCGCCGTCTCATCCTCGCCGTCGCTCTCGCGCCCGTTGAGCGAGATGTGGGGAGCGGCCGCGCTCGCGCCTTTCGCCTTGTCCTTGGTCGAGAACTTGTTCTCCTGCGTGCCCACCGCCAGCACATCCAACCCGTCGCCGCCCTCGGCGAGCCAGAGCGAGAGCTGCGCCGCGTCCGGAGGAGCGTTGCCAACGTTCCAAGTGAAGACGCCGAGGCGGATAGGAGGTTCCGGCTCGTCGTCGAGATCGGAGGACTGGTGCCCTCCAAAGAAGCGGCTCGTGCTGCGCGGCGAGGCGAGACGGGCGAACGCCCCGGTGAAGACCGTGCTCAGTGACCGCGCCGAGGAGCCGGGAGTGGTCGGAGTGGTCCCGAGCGTGGCGCTGCTGCTGCTGCTGCCCTCGATCGCAGAGAAGGACGGCTCGTCCGGCCGCAGCGATGAAGGCCGTGGGCCTCGCGGCCGCACAGCCTCTCCATGGTCGGCCATTGTGGGCTTTGTCGCCGGCGCGCGCTGCAAGGAGACAGAGAGCGCCGAAACGAAAGAAGAATTCCTCGGAGGTCACAGCACACTGGCACGACAAGGGCGCGGACTGGCGCGGAGTGGCACACACACTCGAAAGAAGAACGTTCGTGTAATCCGCCCTGGTAAGTGCTCGAAACGAGAGTGGACCTGAGCGACATGACTTGGCGGCAAATGGTCGGAGTGGGAGTCAGAATGTGGACCTTGCGGAGGAGAGCTCGATCGATCGATAAACTCTTGGGACTTGGGTCTACTTTCATGAGCGGCGACATTGTAACACCGTCACAAAAGTGATGCACGTATTGGGAGCGCGACTGTACCTAGATACTCGTAGCTAGGGAAAGAAGCCCTCTCAGACAACCTCCAAATGCGCTGCGGCTGCCCATCGCATGCCGATGTTTCGCCCCCACTCATCGCCCGTTTGTCGATGCCTGCCCCCGATCCTCCTTGGCCCAGAGCTCGCGCTCGAGCTCCGCCTATGCCTCAATCGTGTAACGCTTGTGGCATCGTGTCACGCTTCCATCTCGCGGGCGCGCGGTTGGGATCGCCTGCCGCTTCTTTCCCTCGGGGTCTGAGAAGTTGGAAGGGTTGTAGATGCAGTTGAAGACGCAGCCCGTCTTCTTTGCGATCTCCATCTCTTTGAAGCCCGACCAGTCGGGCGGACAGATCATCGGGCAATCAGCAAACCTGAAGTGAGGTGAGGTCTGGACTCACGAAAGGGCGAACGGCTGGCAGTTGCTCCCATCCCACGTCCGCAAGCGCCCTCAGGCATCCCTTGGGCGATGGCGCGTCGTACCTCCCACGCTGCAGCGCCGGCTCCATCACGCGGTGGTAGAGGCGGCCGTACTCGCCCCTGTCGTTGCGATTCTGTCGCCGGCACCGCTCTTCCTTGGCGTCGGCAGCAGCGGCGACAAATACTCCATGCGCGCGGTGCAAGTCGCGGCCGGTGAACGGCTCCACCTGTTACAGCTAAGCGGTGATCGAACGCTCCTCACAGCATCAGTCGCGGCGGGGAATTGCTCCGCCTGCAACCACACGTCCGCCGCCGGGGCAGCGGCTACGGTGGCGGCCGACCGCTTCTTCCCGCTGTGTGGCTTTGCCGCCTTCGAGCGAGGAGGCTGCCGCTCCAAGAGAGACCTTCCCTGCTTGCGCCTCCGGCTGACCGGTGTCGGTGCAAGCGTCGCCGGCAGCGACCGCAAGACACGGTTGGTCGCGTTGATGAGCTGCTCCTGTTCACACAAGGGTGCGTGAACACAGCCGCTCCGAGGCTGGCGCGGCTGCTGGAGTGGCTGCTCCTCCGCAATGGCCGTGTAGAAGGAGAAACTTCCCAGCACCCCGTGCCCTCTCACGTCGGCCATCCGGCAAGGCCAGTCCGCGCCGATGCACTGCATCGCGGCGCGCATCTCGCAGTAGGACACCTTGCCCTCGCGCAAGCCGCGCACCTTCAGCAGACAAGACACGCTCGCCGCGATCGTGCCCGGTTCGGTCGGACGCCTCAGACAATCGCACTCAGTCTTGGATGATCTAAGACAATCTCGGATAACATCTTGCCTGGTCGTCCAGCAGCCGGACGCTGTAGCGGGTGGCGGGCAGCAGGCAGCCCCAGCGGCCATCGGCGGCGATGGGGTGGTTGGCCTCGTCCTTGTGCGCCCAGTCGGCGGGAGGCTCACCTGCAAGTGCATGAGTTGCATCAGTCATCAGTAGGGTTCCCTCTGGCTCGACGGAGGGCTGACGGCGATGAGAGCGTGGCGGTGTGTGCAGAGGCTGTTTCGGAGTGGCAAGATGGTCTGCAAACGGCTACGGCAGCCTCGCCGAGCCCCTCGCACAGCAAGTCGTGATGCGGCGAGTAGAGCGAGAGGGTGGAGGGCAGCTGGCCAGTCCAGCCGATATCGTGCTGAAGGATCCACACCTGCTGCACGCCATGCTCGAGCAGCTTGCGCCGGTGCGTGACGTACCATAGGATACCTGGCGGGATCACACTGGCTATAAGTCGAGTGGCTCTACGGATAGTTGCGGCAGGTGTGACTGCGAGAAGAACACCTGGCAAGTCGCATAGGTTGGCCAGCCAGACGGGCTGCCGCGTGTCGGACCATCGGATCTCGTGCGCCTTCGCCAGCACCCCAGGGAAGAGGCGTTCGAGCAATGCCTCGCTCACGACCGAGACGCTCGAGTTGCCGACCGCCCTCGCGAGCATTACCGCTGCTTTGGCGTCCTCCCGCTCGGCATACCCGGGGTAGTAACGGCAGAGACTCGAGAGCCGCTCCGGGAAGTGGCATGTCCGGCTGACCTGTGCCACGCGGTAAAAGTGCGGAGTCTGCGAGAACTGCGCCCTTGCGCGCGCCAGCCGCACGGCGAGGCTGGGCGTGACCGCCATTGACGCTACGGTGTGAACCTGTTCACAGATCGACGTGTGAAGAGGCGATGGAGAAGCATGAGGGGGCGATCGATGCGGCGATGTGCACCATCGCAAAGATTGCCGGCCGCTGGGACTGCTCCTCGACCCGCTGCCGCGCTGCCTCGACCGCCGCGTCGGGCGCGCAAGTGGAGATCCCGCGGTCGGTGCGACTGACGTCTTGCGGACCGACTAGGCCGTAGTCGGTGTGGCCGACGCAGGCGCGGTCGGAGAGGGTCCACATCGTGCACTCGGCTTTGAGCTGCGCCAGCTGCACGCGGCCGCC